TGAGGTCGCGGGCGAGGGCGCGGGCGCCGGCGAGGCGTCGTTGGGCCATCTTGTTCCTATCTGTTCCTCCTCGTCGTCGTCCGCCAGATCTTGCTGTGCCCTCCGGCGCCCCCCTCCGCTCTGCAGCCCGCCCGCACGCAGCGCCGAGCGCGCTCCAGGCTCGCAGGATGCCCAAAGGCCGCTCTTCCTCCCGCGTTTCCTCCGCGTCCTCCCGTGGACGCGATTGCGTTGTGGCCTTGTCTCTGCCTGAGTGTTCAAGTCTTCCACGCGCAGGCACGTCGGATTGGGAGGTGCTTTTGCCTGCGACCCACTGGCCTCCAGAACGGCCTTCCGCCCAGAATGGATGTCTGTCGTTGCAGAAAGGCATCCTGTCAGATCGGAAATCGTCGCGTACCGATCTCAGCTTCGTGAAAGTTAGCCAGCGAGGACCTCAAACGATGACTTCTTGCAGTCTATGCGGTGCAACCCAGGTGGTACAATCCATATTGTACTTCCTATGTGATGTACAGCAATTCAAAGCCATGCAGAGCAAGGCAAAGCAATGGAAAGCAATGAAAAGCAGTGCAAAGCAATGCAACGCAATGGGAAGCAATGCGCAGTAACGCAAAGTATGGCAACGCACAGAAATGCGATGCAATGTGATGCAAATTTATGTAAAGCAAAGCAAGGTAATGCAAAGCAATGGACAACAATGCAAAGTAATGCAAAGCGATGCAACGCGATGCAAATTCGTGCCACGCAAAAAAACTGCATTCAAATGCGAATTAAAGCAACGCGTTGCAATGTAATGCAGCACGGTGCACAGCAACGCAAAGTCATGCAACGCAATGCAACGCGATGCAAAGCGATGCAGCGCAATGCAAAGCAATGCAATGGAATGCAATGCAGTGCACGGCAATGCACAGCAGTGCAAAGTAATGCATAGCTCCGCATCGCATTGCAAAGCGATGCAAATTAATGCAAAGCAGTGTCAAGCACTGCGAAGCAATGCAACGCACCGCGATGCAATGCGATGCAAGTCAATGCAGACAGTGCATAGCCATGCGACGGGATTAAACTCGATACACAGCAATGCAAGGCAATACAAAGCAATACGACGCATCGCAACGCACTGCAAACCAATGCAAAGCAATGCGTTGCCATGCGATGCAACTTAATGCAAGCAGTACAAAGCCATACGACGCAATGCAACGCGATGCAAAGCGATACAAAGCAATACACATCAATGCAAAGCAATGCAAACCGATGCAACGCAATGCAGAGCAATGCGAACCAATGCAACGCAAAGCAACGCAATGTAAAGCACTGCGAAGCAGTGCAACACAACGCAAAGCAATGCGAAGCTATGCAACGCAAGCCAACAACAGTTCAACGCAACTCAATGTAATGCAACGCAGCTCAATGCAACGAAACGCAATGCAACGCACAGCAAAGCAACGTACCGCAAAGCAAGTCAATGTAAAACAGTGCAAAGTAACGCGCATAACGCAATGCAGATCAACGCACTGCCAGACAACGTAGCGCAAAGCAATACAAAGTAACGACGGCGCAGACGGCGACAGGGCGGCGACGTCGACCACATCGCCGCCAGGCTGACGGGCAGGCCCAGAGTGACGGGGCGACGACGGCGACCACATAGCCGCCAGACCGACGGGCAGGCCCAGTACCTTAGATCAGAGGCAGCAGCGCGGAATGGGGATTCTCCGCTGCAATATCCCGGCGGAGAACCGCGTGCAACGCGTCCTCCTCCTCCTCGTCCTCCTCATCGGCCTTCTCCTCCTTCTCATCCTCCAGGCCCTCCATTTTCCCATCGTGCCATTGGGTTTCCTCCTCCACCGCCATGTGCTCCTGCAACCCCCTGAAACACGACCACCCCTGCATCCCCTTCATCGTCGTCTTCGTCCTCCTCCTCCTCCTCCTGGCCGTTCTGCCCATCCTTCTCTTCCCGCTTCCTCTCTTCCTCTTCTTCCTCTCCCTCCTCCTCTTCCTCGCGCTCCTGTACCTCCTGCTCCTCGGGCGGTTGCGCCCTGGGGCGGGTTGAAATGAACGGCCTGATTGCAGATGAGGTTGCCGTTGCGGTTGCGATTGCGCCCGCTGGCGGGTTGCAATGTGTCGCCTGAATGCGGTTGCGGGTGCGGTTGCGCCCGCGGGCGGGTTGCAATGTGTCGCTTGGTTGCGGTTGCGGTTGCGGTTGCGCCCGCGGGCGGGTTGAAATGTGTCGCCTGGTTGCGGTTGCAGTTTCGGTTGCGCCAACGGGCGGGTTGAATTGTGTCGCCTGGTTGCAGTTGCGTTTGCGCCGGCGGGCGGGTTGCAATGTGTCGCCTGGTTGCGGGTGCGGTTGCGCCCGCGGGCGGGTTGCAATGTATCGCCTGGTTGCGGTTGCGGTTGCGCCGGCGGGCGGGTTGCAATGTGTAGCCTGTTTGTGGGTGAGGTTGCGCCTGCGGGGGCGGGTTGCAATGTATCGCCTGGTTGCGGTTGCGGTTGCGGTTGCGCCAGCGGGCTGGTTGAAATGTTTCGCCTGGTTGCGGTTGCAGTTTCGGTTGCGCCAACGGGCGGGTTGAAATGTGTCGCCTGGTTGCGGTTGCGTTTGCGCCGGCGGGCGGGTTGCAATGTGTCGCCTGGTTGCGGGTGCGGTTGCGCCCGCGGGCGGGTTGCAATGTGTCGCCTGGTTGCGGTTGCGGTTGCGGTTGCGCCGGCGGGCGGGCTGCAATGTGTCGCCTGGTTGTGGGTGAGGTTTCGCCCGCGGGCGGGTTGCAATGTGTCACTTGGTTGCGGTTGCGGTTGCGGTTGCGCCCGCGGGCCGGTTGAAATGTGTCGCCTGGTTGCGGTTGCAGTTGCGCCTGGGCGGGTTGAAATGTGTTGAAGTTCAGGCAGGGCATGTCATCTCAGTTCATTCGGTCAGTCAGCGGAGGGCACGGAATTTCACCCGGCTCCGCCTGGAAGAAGAACATGTAAGAACCCTTGGGCGCAAACATTGTTGGGGGAATGAAGGCTGCATTTTCATTCGCAATGGCTTGTTACACTGACTAAGCCATCGTATTATATTTCTTTCACCTTCGTAGTTCGTGTGCGTAGCCTTGTGCCCCATCCGACCCCATCTCCGACGCCCAGCCCGGTGCCAAGCCCGACACCCACTCCGACGCCCAGCCCGACGCCCAGTCCAACCAGCCTGGCGCCTCTGCCGTCAGAGTCCGCTGCTGGAGGTTTCCATTCGCCATACATCCACAGGCAAGCGATCGTTTGGATGAGTCCGCGCACGTATCCCGTCCGATTCATGTTCCACGGGGGCGGGTTCCGTGCGAATTGCTTCGTGTTGGCGGAGCGGCGCAATTTTCGTCCAGACAGTTGGCGCAGTGGTGCAGTTGGCGCAGTGGCGAAAAAACTTATTGTTCAAACAGTGCTCCCACTAAGGACTTCTTCTTGAGCTTTCGTGCAATTGGCTGGCGCGGCTGGGTTTTCGCGCCCAGTGTGCGTCCGAGGGCGCCTCGTGGGCGCCTCGTTCGCGAGTTGGTTCTCGGCCGGTGGGCGCCCACGGGCGCCTCGTGGGCTCCCCGTGATCTGGCTGATGCGGCAGGGTTTTCCACCTGTGGGCGCCCTCGCGCCGGGTGTGATTGCTGGCGCAGTGATAGATAACACCACGTAGGTTGTCCCTCATGGATTCTCGCTTTCACACGACGAAGAGTCGACTCCACCACCTTCCCCCGCCCCGAACTTATCGATGTCCTTTGGGGCCCTGCAAATTATGATTCTGCCCCACTGTTCATTTTCCAAATGATATCACATCATGCCAGCCAGGCCGGTATCGCCCCCCTGTCACTCTTTCCCGGTAGTACCATTCGTGCGCACTCGTTTATTTCGAACATATACATATATTATTACTACAAAGGGCTCCACCAGACAAGCCTAACGCATCATAGTTATTCATCGATCATCTAGCAGATTTTCTGTCCGCGCTTGCTTGCTGAAGTCACAGGATAATCATATGATTTCATCAATTTCATCCAGCACCCGCACTTCTCATTTCACCACGCGGGGCATCCGCGTTGATCTAGCATGCGCCCAGTGCGCGAATCCGTATCACATAACCCGAGTAAGCGATTAAGGAACCCCCCCCCCCCCCTCTCCGGTGAAAGGATAACGCACCCGGCACCCGGAAGCGTTATCCTGGCACCAGGAGGGGGTACACCAGCTTTCCTTAGCTTTTCTCAGCTTTTTCTTAGCTTTTCTAAGCTTTTCCTTAGCTTTTCTCAGCTTTTCCTTATTCGTATTCGTATTCTTATTCTCATTACAATTCTAATTGGGATGCCACCCGAGGCGGGGCGCTGGAATTATTTATTTTCCTTCCATTTGCGCGGTGCTAATAATATCGCTCGGCGAAAACCCCCCCAAATAATTATTTAATTACGGCGCGGTGCTAATGATAACGCCGGGGGGTTCCTTAATTGCTTCTCCGGGTTAGTACCGTGCGGGCCACGTGCGCGCGCCGCCACGCGCGCGTGTCGAAGTCCTTCCAACACCATTGATTCACGGTGCTCTTCAAAAACGCGTGGAATAATTGGTTTCCAGCAAACGTCTGTCATAAATTCTTACATGTCTTCGCGCGCGCACTTCCTGATCACCCTCATCAGCGCCAGCACATCACCGCTGCCATCGTCATCCTCGACCGCCGCCATTGCGGCCATCATCACCACAATCACCGTCACCACCGACACGCGGACAACATCATCGTCATCATCATCATCATCATCATCATCATCATCATCATCATCACCATCATCATCATCATCATCATCATCACCATCATAGTCATCACCAGTATCATCATCGTCATCGTCGTCATCATCATCACCATCATAGTCACGTCATCAGCAGCATCGGCGCCGTCATTGGCCTTGCCGTCGGCATCATCATCATCATCATCACCATCATCATCACCATCATCATCGTCATCATCATCATCATCATCATCATCATCATCATCATCATCATCATCATCATCATCATCATCATCATCTCCACCACAATCGTTACTACCAGCATGGTCGCCGCCATTGTCGACGTCATCATGGTATCGCGCCCGCCAGGGTCACCGACCCGCACTGAATCGCCCGCGCGCTTGCGCGGCCTCATAGACGAGTTAGGAAGATTCCATCGGCACGCGCCATCGCGGCCTCACCAGTTATGCCAAACCAGCTGGTCGCTGCTTGCGCGATTTTGGGGGGCCTTCTGGCCATCGTCGACGCTCTTCGGACAAGAAGGCCGAGCATGCTGCACTCCTATGACGAGCTCGGCTTCGTGGGCCGGCCTGTGGCTTCCGAGGTCACCCAAGAGGCGCCCAAGAGGGCTCCAGGACGGGCCCTGGGACCCGCTTGGGCCATGCTGTCTGCGTGGTTTGCCAGCCGCCCCCCCGAGGCCACCGGGACAACACGCACGGTGGGAATCCCGAGTGCGCCCGGGAGCGTCCAGAACACGGCGGGGGCCTGCGCTCCCTCGAGAGCCTGTCTCATATGAAACGCAGAACACGAAGACACGTTACTCTCTGCCTGCGTCGCGGTGGCGGATACTGCGCATGGAGACAGCAAGGGCCTACTGTTCGGTGTCCACGCTGGCCTGCAGTTGATACGTCATGCGGGCGCAAACTTCATACCGCAGAGGGCGTGGGCGAATGCGGAAAGGGCAGGCGGCATTCGTTACGGCACCTAGGTTGTGGCGGCCGATCGCGCCAATTGGGTAAAGTTTGGGCCCGCGCATGCGATGGTTGACCACGGGCGCAGACGACCGTGAATCTATCAACGAAGTTTGTGCGAATAGTGCGGGCCTCGGCATCGAAGGTTCACCTGGAGGAGCTTACCACGCTGAAGGGGAGATCCGTCCAGAGAAATGCCATTATCGCGTAGCTTTGTAGGCATATCGGTTGCTCGCATTTTATGATTGAGCATCGGTATTCGAACTCAAGGGGCTTCTTGCTTGCTTGCTTGTTTGTTTGCTTGCTTGTTTGTTTGTTAGTGTGTTAGTTTGTTTGTTTGAATGTGTCTGTGTGTGTGTGTCATTCCTAGCGGCTCCAGTTGTACCTCAATGTTCGAGGTTGGCCGCCTTATTGGCATCAATGCGCCCGAGCTCGCATGTACTCATGCGCGCACATCATCATCATGATCATCATCATCATCATCATCAGCATCATCATCTTCATCATCGTCATCATCATCATCACCACCATCATCATCATTTTAGTCTTGACTCTCATCACCACCTCTGTTCCACGATTAATCTAACCTTGTGAAGACCTCATGGTGGTGCGGGCCAGCCGATTGCTTGTATGCAGTCTTTTGGGGGCTCCCAGGATCCTCCACCCTCATCGCCCAACTACAGTCAACCCGCATAGTAAGGATGAATGTTGCCCTTGCATCTTTCCCCTTCGGCCCATCCTTGGCCGTTTTCGCTGGTTGCGCCTCGCTCGCAAAGTGTCGACATGGCCTTCCCTGGCCCTTGCAGCCTTATCGTGCGTCCCTGTTATACGGGTTGGCTGTAGGATTTATGTTCAGGCGTTTGCCGAACTCATGAGCTGTTCTTGTTCTCGTTGCACCTCTCAGACCACCAGGCCACTAGGCCACCCGCCCGCTGCTTCGGGTGAGCAGGCGGCTTCGTTGCAGCGGTCCGTTTCTCCTTCTAAGCTTGTCATCGGGCTGCGATGACGTACCCGTGCTGCGGGCGTCGAGTGATGGGGGGACGATAATTTTTTGGGGGTGAATCGGTTTGCACCTTCTGTGCCCTAAAGGAGCCCCAGAGGGGCCCACTGGCGCCCAAAAGGGGCACAAAAGTTGCACTTCCCCCCCCGACCTCCACTTATCGCCCCCCCATTTATCAACGCCCCGTCGTCGTCGCCGTCGTCGTCGTCGTCGTCGTCGTCGTCGTCGTTGTCGGCGTGGTCGTCGTCGTCGTCGTCGTCGTCGTCGTCGTCGTCGTCGTCGTCGTCGGCGTCGGCGTCGGCGTCGGCGTCGTCGGCGTCGGCGTCGTCGTCGGCGTCGTCGTCCTCGTCGTCGTCGTCGTCGGCGTCGTCGTCGTCTTCGTCGTCGTCGTCGACGTCGTCGTCGTCGGCGTCGTCGTTGTCGTCGTCGATGTCGTCGTCGTCGACGACGACGTCGTCGTCGTCGGCGTCGTCGTCGCGAGGAGGCCTCGTTCTCAGCAGAGGACCTCTCCACGCCGGGCCACTCGCAGGGCATGGGGGCGATTCGAGCATCTGCGGTGTGGGCCCTTCACGCGTGCGCCTCTGTCGCCATGCGCCCTCTGCCGTTCCGTGCCAGCCGCATCCGCGCGTGCCCCGCCACGCGGCGCGCCCGCCTCCCAGGAGGTCTCCGGGTAGCTCTGGAGGCCTCGGGGTCGGCGCCTGCACAGGGCATGGGGTTACGCCGGGGTGTGGTTTGCGATCGGCACCGCCGGGGCCTGGGGAGCGCGACGCTGTCCTCGTCGGGCCTCCTCGGGACGCGGCGTAGAGCTCTGTCGAGATCCTCGCCCGCCCCCCAGGGCCCCCCAAAGGGTGCCCGCTGCAAGCAACACCCCTTGCAAACCACACCCGTCGGAGTCGCCGATCGGGGGGTCTTCCGAAGTACGGGAGGCGTCCGGAGGCCTCCAGAGGTTCAAAAAGGATGTAAAAGGACACACCCAAGAACCCACCTCGTTATTGTCGTCGTCCTCGTCTTCGTCCTCCGCCTCTTTCTCCTCCTCCTCCTCCTCCTTCTCCTGTAGCGCCTCCTCCCTGGCGAGGCGCCGGTCGCCAAGGCGAGCAAGGCGGCGGAAGCGTCGAACTCCAAGAAGAGGAAGAAGAGCAGCAGCTCAAGCAGCAGCAGCACGAGCAGCAGCAAGAGGCGCAGGAGGAGCCCGCTTTGACTTTGTAAGGAGAAGAGGAGAAGGAGGAAGGAGGAGGAGCAGGCGGAGGAGGAGAAGGAGGAGGAGGAGGCTCTCGCCGTTGCGCGCGCTCAGGGCGCTGATTGCCAGGAAGCCGTAGGGCGCTATGGGGTGCCATGGGAAGCAGCAGGAAGCTAAAGGGCGCCGCAAGATTGGCCGAGGCGAGCAATAGAAAAACGTGCGCGCGCGTTCTTGCGAATTATTACTAGAACCATCTGCTTTCCAACATTTCCAGAACATTCTACCAAACGGGCTTCGCGCGCGTGCATGTCGAAATCGTTCGAACGCCCTTGCGCGCGTGCCGTCGCGAGAATCCTTTGCAACAGATAGGACGGAGTTCACGGGCGCGCGTTGTCGCGCGCGCATGCCGAAATCTGTCAAACACCTGCGATTCCGTGACGATTTCAAAACCGAATGTCCGAACCACATACAAACACACATGGTTTCGGAACATCAGTTTTTTTAAAAGCGTGCGCTCGCGCTCTTGCGCATTCTTAAGCATACCATAGGTTTTCAGCATGTTAATGACATTCTGCCAAGCGGGCCTCTGGCGCCGCATGCCGACATCATTCGCATGCGCTTGCTCGCGTGCGGGGGGGGGGCACGATCCGTGTCAAATAATACCATGCGGGCCACTCGCGCATCGGCCGCGCGCGCATGTCGAACTCTTTCCAAAGCCTTCATCACCGACGCGAGGACGCCGTCATCGTCGTCGGCGTGATCAGCATCGGCGCCCGCACTGGCCGCGCCTTCGTTGGTATCAACATCGTCACCAGCATCGGTACTATCATCATCGTGTCTACCGTTGTCGACGTTGCTGTAATACCGCGCCCGCCCAATTCGCCGACTCGCAGTGAAGGGGCCGCTGGGATGTGCCCGGTGGTCAGCGCCACCGCGGCCGCGTCGGCGGCGCCAAACTAGCTGGTCGCTGTGCGCGCGTGTTCGGGTCGGCACGGCCGCAGAGATGCACCAACCAGACCAAGCATGCATCGCAATCGCCACCGCATGAGTTTTGCAAACCAACTTGCGGGGTGGTGGGTGGGATGTTTGCAAGAACATGGGATGTGTCGGTTCCTTTGTTAAAATCAGTTGTGCCGCATAGATTGTACCACAAAGATTGCACCACAAATATTGCACCACTTAGAGCGCACCACGTATTGTACAACACATAATGTACACGAGGTAGATCGCACCACATGGGTTTCACAACACACGTTGCACCATATTAAAAGCACTGCATCGATTGTGCTACATCGGTTGCATCACAGATGTGGCACCGCATGGGGTGTACAATGTATGTAGCACCACGTATATTGCACCACTTGGGCTGCACCACGTAGATTGCGCAACATAGATCGAACCGCGTAGATTGCACCAGCCAGTGCAAATCCTACAAATTGTTGAAACGAGTGTGTGCGAAGCTAAGGCGAGAGCCACACTTTGAAAATGACCCCCACTCCTTCCGTGTACCTCTTACACATCTTTAAGGCGAGTGTGCGCGGCGCTACGGCGAGAACAACATTTTGAAAACCACCCGCCCTCAATGAATCCGTCTTCTGCACATCAAAAAATCGACGCGCGCGGCGCTTAGACGAAAGGCGCGTTCTGCAAATTTTTAAAACGAGTGTGCGCGGCGTTCATGCAATGCTTACATTTGAAAATCACCCGTCTTCAATCCGGGAAAATGTTGCGAATTCTTGACAAGAGTGCGCGCGGCGCTAAGGCGAGAGCCACCTTTTGGAAGCGACCCGCCCTCTCATTGTGCCACCGTTGCCAGCTTTTAAGATGCACGCTCATAAATGGTAAGGACCTCTCAGGCGAAACGCCCGGCCCGCCCTTCCGACTGGTCTCGGTGCGCGACAGGGAGGAGTTATTCATGAGGAAAAGAAACGAAGGAAGAGGACCAGTGTAAACCCGAGACTTGTCAACGATTGTGCAATAAGACCTTCCTGCAAGCTCTTTCTTCATAGGCCCCTACAAGGGGTCATTTTCGTTGTGGGTGGTGTCCTGTAGGAAGACAGCCTTTTGAACATCTGGAACTGTGCCAGAACATCATTCCCGGGACGTAAACTGCACGAATCACCGTTACCTTTGCGTCTTGATGATGATGATGATGAATCGTGCCAGACCACCTTTCGTGGGATTTCAACACCGCGAATCAACGTGACTGTTGCGCCCTGACATTCCGACATCGTGCCAAACGAATGTACGCGGCGCCAAGGCGAGAGCCGCACTTTGAAAACAAACCCGCCCTCCATCCGTGAAGCCCTTGCGAACTTTTGTGGCGAATGTGCGCGGCGCTACGGCGAGAGCCACATTTTGAAAACGGACCAGCGAAGCGGCGCTGAGGCGAGAGCCGGATTTTGAAAACGAGCAGTTTTCCATACGTTTTTTGTTGTTTGTTTCATGTTTTCAAGGCCGATGCGCGCGGCGCTCATTCGAACGCCGCATTTGAAAACGGCACGCCCTGAATCCGCAAATCAACCGAGTGTGCGCGGTGCTTAGGCGAGGGCTACATTTTGAACACGATTCGCCCTCTACCCGTGAAACTCTTGCGAACTTTCAAGACGAATGTGCGCGGCGCTAAGGCGAAAACCACATTTTGAAATCGGATCGCCCTCTATCCGTCAAGCTGTTACAGGCTATAAGCTTCAGGATCGTCAGTGGTGAGGAAGTCTCAGGCGGAACGTCTGGCCTGCCTTTTCGACCAGCCTCGGGGCGCGGCAGGGAAGAGTTGCTCATGCGGCAGAGGGATGAAGGAGGAAGAGCAGGAGAAGGACTGCAACACTGTGCCCCCTCCTGCGGCCGATAGGGTTCAGCCTGTCTGTCTGTCCTCCAGGGGCTGGCGGCGGGCCTGAAGCTACGCGGACGGTGCCTGCATTGGCGCGGCGCGGCGGGTGGATGAGGCTCGGCGGAGGGGGAGCGGGCGAGGCGGAGGACGTGCGGGGGGTCTCGGCCGAGGCGTCGGGGGCTCGGGGTGAACAAGCGCGGCCGCAAGGAAAGCGAAGAAGAAGTCCCGACAGGCGGCGGACATTGAGAGGCGAAAGGAGGCAATGATCAGGTCGGCTGCGCCGAGGTCCGTCGCCCCCTTTTTTAGAGGTAGAGGTAGAGAAGGAGGAGGAGGAGTAGGAGGAGGAGGAGCTTGAGGAGCTGGAGGTTATGACGAGCTTCTTGTTTGTTGTTGTTGTTGTTGTTGTTGTCGTCGTTGTTGTCGTTGTCGTTGTCGTTGTCGTTGTCGTTGTCGTTGTCGTTGTTGTTGTTGTTGTTGTTGTTGTTGTTGTTGTTGTGGTTGTTGTTGTTGTTGTTGTTGTTTGCTTTTGTGTTGTTGTGATTTTGCTGGTTGTGCTGTGTCGGTGTTGGTATTTCGTCCTCTCTGTCACGCACTCTCTCTCTCTCACTCTCTCTCTCTCCCTCCCTCCCTTCCTTCTCCTCTCTCTCTCTCTCTTTCCCTTTCCCTCTTCTCTCTCTGTCCGTCTCTGTCTGTCTGTCTCTCCCTCTGTCATTCGCTCTCTAGTTTTTTTATTGGTTGTTTCTATTTTTATTTTATGTTCTCTCTCTCTCTCTCTGTCACTATTCCCTCCCTCTCTACTTCTCTACGTCCCTACCTTGTTACTTATGTTCCTCTCTACCTGTCTATCTTAATACCTCTCTGTCTGTCTGTCTGCCTGCCTGCCTGCCTGCCTGCCTGCCCGTCAGTTTGTGTCTGTGCCTGTCTGTCTGTGTCTGCCTGTCTGTCTGTCTGTCTGTCTGTCTGTCTGCCTGCCTGTCTGTCTGTCTGCCTGCCTGTCTGTCTGTCTGTCTGTCTGCCTGTCTTCTTTTGTGTGTCTCTCTCGCTCTCTTTCTCTCTCTCTCTCTCTCACGCCTTTCCCATACGGCTCCCCCCACGCTCGTCGCACCCCTTCCCCCCTCCTTCGCACCTCCTCCCCCCCCTGCCCCTTCATCTCAGAATCCTCGCTCTTCCAAATCACCGCCCCCCTCTCCCTCGCCTCATGGCTTCCCCTCCTCTTTTTTGAACGCGGCCCGGTTTCGGGCTGCCACCCGGTACGCAGCCCACGGAGCCCTCGCGCAAACGGCGGCCACGGCGTCCGCGAGGCACAGCAGCTGGGCGGAGGGCCACTCGCAGGCGGGGAGGGGTCAGGCGGCGACTCGCCGGCAAGGGGAGGAGCTACATCCTGCGCTCGGCCCCGCGGCCCGCGAGGTGGCGAGGTGGCGAGGCGCGAGGTCATCGCACGGCCCGCGCTTCGTTCGGCCCGTGGTCCACGGCGACGGGCCGTCGGGAAGGGCGGAGGCCTCGGCGCAGCGGCGCGCGGCACGCCGCGCGAGGCCCACCCGCGCGAGGCCCCCCTGCGGCGGACGGGGGGCGCAGGCTCAGCAGGGGCCGCGCCTGGGCGCCCTGCAGGAGGAGGAGGCGGAGGAGGAGGAGGAGGAGGAGGAGGAGGAGGAGGAGGAGGAGGAGGAGGAGGAGGAGGAGAGGAGGAGGAGGAGGAGGAGGAGGAGGTGGAGGCGGAGGAGGAGGAGGAGGAGGAGGGAGGAGGAGGAGAAGGAGGAGGAGGAGGAGGAGGAGGGGAGGAGGAGGAGGAGGAGGAGGAGGAGGAGGCGGAGGAGGAGAGGGAGTCCGAGGAGGAGAGGGAGGAGGCGGCTTAGGAGGTGCGCAGGCAGCGTCACTAGCCTCCGATGGAGCGGAAGGTGATCTGCGGCGTCGAGGGGTGCGTGACGGACGGGAGCTGCGAGGGCGAGCTGGCGCCGGAGGACTTCGCCCCTGTTCTGTTCGGAGCGCATCTCCCTCGGCGGCGATGGCGGGCAGCTCTGTGCTGCTGGCAGCGTCGTGCGGCTTGCGCCCTCCTTGGAGACTGTGCTGGAGAAGGGACCTCTTGCCGAGTCGACCCTGCGCGCCGATGCTCCGCATGGGCCTACGGCCTTCCCTGCTGCTGGAGGCTCGAAGAAACTGCCATGCGAGACGCAGCTGATCGAGCAGGGAGGGCGGCTCTGCACACGTGGCGCTTTCTGCTCTTGGAGCTGTTCGCGGAGTGCCGCCGAGCCCGAGCGGCCGTCCGCGAAGGCCGCAGCTGAGGAGGAGTCTGGTGCGGTGCCACCTGAGCGCTCATCCGAACATGCTGAAGCTTAGCGGTAGCGTGCTGTACTTTCTAGCGTTGCCGAGTCCGTGGACGCAGCAGTCGACACAGGGGAGCGCAGCATCGATTCCATCATCGAGGTGGCGGCCCAGATTCGGAGCTAGGCGGTGGTCGGGCCCATCGAGGCGCCCCTTCCTGCGGCGAGCTCGCCGCCCTGCTGCGACGAGTTCGGGCTCGGGTTCCAGTTTAGCAGGTATGGATCGAAGAAGAAAAAACGCCATAACTAACTTTTGGCGCTCCGCGCGGATTTCTTGGATCCGCGCTGGCCCTCCCCGACGGCGCCTCCGGCGCCGCCCCTGGCGCGCTCCCCGCGCCAGGGAGGGGGGTCCAGCGCAGATCCAAGAACTCCGCGCGGGGCGCCAAAAGTTTCTGTTTATGTTTTTTCTTGTTTTTTTGTTTTTCTCTTCCAATGGAGCCAAGCCCAGTGCGGATGTCGACGGGTGGAGGTCCGGCGCTGTGCGAGCACGGCCGCCGAAGGACTGCGAGGTTCTCCGGGGTGCTGCGCCGCCCGTGCGGCCCGCGGGGCCGCCGGCGCAGTGACCGCCAGCCTCGGACGTGGGCTCCGTGTTCACGGGCTGCGCGGCGACGGCGGCCTGAGTGGCCTCTTCGGCCTCTTCGGCCCCGCCTGCGCCAGCCCCGAGCCCCGCAGAGTGCAAGCAGAGCAGAGCTCAGAGAGTGCAGCCGAGGGTGCTGCGTGACATTCCTTCCGGATGCAACTCCTGGGAGGTTAATTCCTGACTTTGCCCTGGTCTGGAATCCTGTTTCCCCCAGTTTCATATTTTTCTTAATCTGGCCTAATCCCGTGTAATCTGGCTTAATCTTGCTTGATCTGCGGCCTAATTTGGTGTAGCAGGCCCCCCAACGGGGCTTAATTCTCCCTAGCCCTTCCGACGAAGACCTCCCAGTAGCTGCCTCCTAGCATTCCTCGTGCTGTTTCCATCCCGTGGCTTCTGGTGCAGCCGCACGGCTTGCTCGCGGCCCTCGCGGAGCTCCGTGGTTTCAGGAGGCCTCGGCGCTCGGCTTCGAGATCGGTGTTCTCATGAAGTTCACGGGTTGCAGTTCGTGATGTTTATGACTTCGTCACTGTTCCTTTTCCTGTTCTTTCCTTACCTTTCCTCCTCGTCCTCGTGGTTGTCGTCGTCGCCCCTCCGCCTCCTCCATCTCGTCCTCGTCGTCCCAGCCATAGTTCTCGCCCTCGCTCTTCCTCCTCCTCCTCCTCTTCCACCTCCTCCTCCCCGTCCCTCTCCTCCTCCTCCTCCTCCTCCTCCTGCTCCTCCTCTCCTCCTCCTCCTCCTCCTCCTCCTCTCCTCCTCCTCCTCCCCTCCTCCCCTCCTCCTCCTCCCTCCTCCTCTCTCCTTCCTCCTCCTCCTCCTCCTCCCCTCCTCCCCCTCTCCCCCTCCTACTCCTCCTCCTCCTCCTCCTCCCCTCCTCCTCTCCTCCTCCTCCTCCTCCTCCTCCTCCATCCTCCCCTCCTCCTCCTCCTCCTCCTCCTCCTCCTCCTCCTCCTCCTCCTCCTCCTCCTCCTCCTCCTCCCCTCCCCCCCCTCCCTCCGCCCTCCTCTCGCCTCCCTCTCCCTCCTCCTCTCCTTCTCCTCCTCCTCCCCTCCTCTGCTCCTCTCCTCCTCCTCTCCTCCTCCTCCCTCCTCCTCTTCCCTCCTCTCCTCCTCCTCCTCCTCATCCTCCTCCTCCTCCTGCTCCTCTCCTCCTCATCCTCATCTGCCCTCTCTCCTCCTCCTCCTCCCTCCTCCTCCTCCTCCTCCTCTCCTCTCTCCTCCCCCCCTACTCCTCCTTCCCGCCTCCCTCTCCCTCCTCCCTCCTCCTCCCCCTCCTCCCTCCTCCTCCTCTCCTCCACCGCCCGAGGCGCCCCAGTTCTCGGGGCCCGGAGGATGATGGCCACCCGAGGGATGACCCCTAGAGGCAACTACGCCCTGGACTTCGTCACCGGCGGCTCCTCGATGCCGCCGCCCGTGAGCCCCCCCCTCCCTGCCGCGCGCGTGCCCGCGTTGGGGAGGGCGCCGGGGCGCCTGCTTCACGCAGGAGGAGGGGGAGAGGGGAGGAGGAGGAGGAGGAGGAGGAGGAGGAGGAGGAGGAGGAGGAGGAGGAGGAGGAGGAGGAGGAGGAGGAGGAGGAGGAGGAGGAGGAGGAGGAGGAGAGAGGAGGAGGAGGAGGAGGAGGAGGAGGAGGAGGAGGAGGAGGAGGAGGAGGGAGGCGAGGAGGAGGTAGGAGGAGGAGGAGGAGGAGGAGGAGGAGGAGGAGGAGGAGGAGGAGGAGGAGGAGGAGGAGGAGGAGGAGGAGGAGGAGGAGGAGGAGGGCAGGAGGATGAGGAGGAGGAGGAGGAGGAGGAGGAGGAGGAGGAGGAGGAGAGGGGAGGGAGGAGGGGAGGAGGAGGAGGAGGAGGAGAGGGGAGGAGGAGGAGGAGGAGAGGAGCAGAGGAGGAGCAGGAGGGGGAGGGGGAGAGGATGAGGGGGATGAGGAGGAGGAGGAGGAGAGAGGCAGGAGGAGGTGGAGGAAGGAGGAGGAGGAGGAGGACGAGGAGGAGGACGAGGCGGAGGAGGTGGAGGAGGAGGAGGAGGAAGAGGAGGAGTTGGAGGAGGAGGCCCAGAGGGAGGAGAGGGAGGAGGAGCCGTAGCCATTTTGGTTCAGTTTTGAAGCCCAAGTCGTGGGGCTTCGAGCTTAGAGGTTTCGGCCGCTTTGCGACAACAGTCGAGGGGGCGCCTGACGCAGCCCTTTCCCTCCCATTGTGAAGGGGGAGCCGCCGATCGTGGGGCCCCGCATGGCCTCTCAGTTTCGTTGCTGGGAATTTTCTGGTCTCCGCAGTGCGGCACCTTGGACGTGTGGCGCGTGTGGCACATGGGTAAGTTTCGCCACGAAGATGCAGTGTGTGTCGTGCTTCGCTCGCGCTCCGAAGCATGTGCAGCGTTCTATCAACAAGGCCGTTTTGGCGCCAGGCGCGCCGCCATGGCAGGCCCGCGCCCCCCCGCCGCCCACGAGGCGCGGCAAGGGGGGCAAGCCTGATGGCGGCGGCAGCCCTCGCGCTGCTCACGGTGCTGGCAGCGCTGCAATCGGCGGCGCTGCAGTCGGCGGCGCTGGCGAGGCATGGAGCTGGCATGGCTCTGGCGCCAACCTCTTCGCCAAGCAGCAGCCTGCTGCTGGTGGGGACGACGTTATCGCCGAGCTCGATAAGGTCATCGGCACCCTGGAGTCCCTCGCCGATCCCTCCCTGGACGCCGAGTTGGGGCGCACGCGTTCAGAACGAACCGCGATCATCGCTGACCGTCGTGCAGGCAAGCTAGTGTTCCAGCCGCTGCAGCAACCGAATGGCAATATGGCGGCAGTCGGCAAGCAACTGGGTCGACAACGGGACTTCGTGCTGCCGTACCTTGAGTTTTGAGGAGGAACTGCTCACGGCCAAGCATCTGGAGACCACTCTCGCGGTGGAGCTCGAGGTGCTACGGACTGACAAGGTCGCTTTGGCCAAGAGGCTGCAGGAGGTGCTGCCACCACAAGCAGCACCACACTGCGGCAGTGCTGCAGTGCTCCATCTCGTCGGCGGCCTGAAGAAGCTGCTGCAGGAAGTTGAACCGCAAGAAGGAGATGTTGTGACGAAAGTGCCCAAGGCCTTCACGACCTTGTTCACCGAGTTCTTCGGCAAGCTCGAGAGCACGGCTCGGCCTCCCTCGGCAAAGCCTGCTGCAGCGGCTGCTGCAGCGCCAGCTGCGCCTGCGGCTGGCGAGTGGCGCGGCTGCTGGTTCTGAGGAGCAGCCGGTGCCAGTGTTTAGCGACCTCGGCGAGTCGAAGAGGGAACGCGTGGAGCTCACCGAGGAGCTGCCCCAGAGCGTGCCCGAGCAGGTGCGCGCCAGCAGGAGGGAGGTGTTGGGGTCCAACTACCAGCTGCGGGCAGCGACCAGCGCCGGGGCGGGTAGCGCCGACTCCTCCTCTTTGACCCGCGTCGGCCCTGCCGACACTTGGGGACTGGGAAGCGCGCCGACTCGCTGCCGCTGCAGCAAGGCGAGGACGTGGACCAGAGGCGGAGGCGGCGAGGCCGTCTAGTGATGATGTCCTTTGATGCCAACCTGTCCTGTTTCAGGCCATCATGGGCGAGGGCGGCATCCCCATCGTGGCAACGCGGGATCACGGCAATCCAGCGGATTGGCGGAAAATCTCAGGAGCCGCCCAATAACATCGGGGGTGGCGAGTCATCGGGGCACCAGCAGTAAGCTCAGCAGAAGGAGGCGTCCCCACGGAGGGTACCATCATCAGCCCTGTGTGTCTCGTGGTGAACATGGTGCCCTGCCAGAAGAGCTGGGGCATCTCGCCTGGAGGAGCTGCCGGTCGACGGTTTTTGGGGCTCGTATAAGTTTGAGGCATTGGATGGGTACGTGTGCTTTTGGAGTGAGGAGCCCGTGACATGGGCGGCGAACGCTGCAGTCTTGGACACCATAATCGAGTAGGTCGCCAAGCTGCGCGTCCCGTGGGTTGCCATGAGCGGCTCCAGCAAAGAGCCGAAGCCCATCGGAGATAGCCCTGGGGACCAGGAGCTGACGGGTCACGTGTTGGCCTGCACTGGCGAAGGTGGCACTTGCAGAATCACGTCGACCAAGCAGGGTGTCGAGCGCATCACCGATAGAGTGTTCGGCTTCTTGTGGGTGGGTGCTCGACTGGCAGCTGTTTTTGATGATATGGGGTCCCATGAGAACATGCCATGCCGACCTCGTCGCCCTACAGATGCGCGCCGATGAGGATTGGGCCGCGTGCAAGCTCCAGATTATCAAGATGCCCGAGCAGTGCCCAGCGACCTGGCCGCCACCTGTCCTGCCGCCGCAGCCGTTCGAGTTCCCCAAGGGTGAAGACATCGACGCGCAGGCCAAGCTGGACATGATCTGGTCCGACTTCTGGGGGGTTGCGGAGACGGAGCTCCGCGAACTGTTCGGCTGGGGCGAGTCCCAGGCGACGACGCGCCAGGGTCGAGGTGCCGTTCCAGAGGTCATGGAGCGGCTGCCAGTCCCCAAGCATTGCAGTCCTGTCGCCGATCGGGGCCTTGCGAGGGCCTGGCGCCAGGGCTGCGGGTGAGTTGGCATGGGTCAGCCAGTGGGCGCGCTGCGTTCTGAGAGGCCACCAAAAGGCCCAGCATGGGCAGGCTGCAAAAGACGCCTCTGGAACTGGACTCTCCTGCGTGTCGCAGAGCTACTTATTCGACGCACGACGCCAACTTCACAGAGGACGGCGTCGACCCTTTCAAATGGAGCGCCATTGGGGGCTCATGGGCACGGCTTCCTCAGAACGGTGGGCGAGCTTGCAAAGGGCGAGCCCGCCGTCGCCATCGCGGGCGCCGTCGATGCGATCTTGATCTTCTGCCAACAGTGGGGGGCCGCCCGGGGGGCTCGATCGGGATCTGACTCATTCTGCATCCGGCTTAGTGAGAAGTCGCTCGGGTCTGGCGGCTGCCTATGCGATGCATGCCGTTCGGAGCAGGCCTGGATGGGGGCCCGTATCATCGGTCGAAAATGTTAGGCCGCCGCCAGACCCATTGGGGGGCAGTCGCCGCTGAATGAGCAGAGTGGGGAGCCATCTGATCGTTGTCGCAAGGTTTGGCAGGATGGCCCGGTGAAAAGTGCGCGACTGCAGCAGGTGCATGAGCTTCTCACCGTCGAGGCATGTCAGTTGAGATTTATGTGTTCGGCATCGGCGGCTGGCACTTCGGGCGCGTCGGGTGGCTCAGTGCTGAATGCCTCGGATGCCTCGCACGTCTTCCCGCGGCGTGCGAGGTCCAGTGCTCGCGGCCCGCTGCCGTGTGTATGCCAGCCCTCCTCGTCGCGACGCAGTGCAGAGGGGCCAGGCCCTCCGCGCTATTTCCAGCGCCCGCCCGCATCTGGGAGGTAGTGAGAGGCTCGCTAATCCGGCTGCGTGAAGGCCAGCGCACGCGGTCCTTCGACAGGGCCGCGCCTGGCAGGAGCAGCGACGGGGGCGGTCTGAAGAGCCAGGCTGGGCGACGAGTCGCTGCAGGGCGCGCCCCTTCCACGCTGAGCATGCGGGATTCATTTCGCTCAATATGATGGGGTGCCTCGGCGTGGTGCAGGATGTGCCGATGGATGTGTGGGCGCTGTCCCTTGAGTCGTTTGCCTTTCCGAGGGCAGTGCGGAAAGGGGCAGGCCGCCGCCTGTTCAGCGCGCACTTGGGCGGGCTTGCCAGCTGTGTCCAAGTTCGCGAATCGACCCCTGAAGGTGGTGCCGTGCCTGTTGCGGGACCTGGCGCAGACATGGGTATGCGCGCATGTGGGCATCGCCAAGTTCGTGGGGGGGGGGGGGGGATGTCGCGACCAGGGTTGCCAGCGCCAAGAAGCAGCTGAACATAGTCTTACCGGAGGCGGTCGCCAGGTTCGCGCGGCGGCTGGATGGCGTTGTTCAGATGAGGTTGCCCAAGAGAATGCGATGCAAATCGACGCTCGCGACGAGCTCGGGCGACTTGGCCAGGGAGCTCAACCCAGGATGGACATGATGGGGCCCGAGCTCGCGGAGAATGAGAGGTGGTTGGTCGTCAACTACCAACCTCAAGGGCTACGGCGTCGCATTGCTCGTGACAAGAGGATGCGCTTCGCCGGGGGCGGATAGTTGTGGTCGGCCCCGCTCAAGCGCCCTGTGGCGCCTCGTGAGGCTAGTGGTCCAGGAGGGCCCAGGGCGCTCATCGCTTGCGATGCTTCACGCAGAGGATCTGCCCCCCCCCGTCATGGAGTTCGTGGAGCAGACGTGTCGGGCTTTGCGAGCTGGTGTTGGGGCCTTCAGATCAGGTGCCCTGGGGTGGGCGCTGGCGCGGCGTTAGGGCCGAACTGAGCACGCGCGGCCGGCGCCTTTGGAAGACCACGAGCGGCGCGAGGGTCCAGCTGGCGCGGTGGTGCTCGCGGTGCATGAACTGATCCGGGGCATGGTGGACCCTGGGCACGTCGAGCGAGGGTGGGTGGGTGGCGCGCGCG